AGTACAAACAAATTCACAATGATGCACAAAGATATATCAAATTTAAGCACAATAAAGAAAACTTAATTAAAGAGAAAAGATAAGAAATGCAAACCAAATATCAAACCAATAGTCTCTTCAATTGATGGCGATGCTAACCAAGATGTACAAGTGAAGGCTCACTCCTTCCTCACCCCAAATACTCTTTGGTTGAGCCAAGGAGTTTTACAACTATTCTAGTTAACCCTCAACAACCTACACTTGAAAGATCACTCACCCAATTAAGAACTATTTTATACAAATGAGGCAACCTTCACCAAGGTTTTACCACTCCAAGAGAGTAACTTTCACTTGAGCAACCTCACAACCCAACTTCCCCAACCCCTTATACAACCAACAAAGAATCTTTCTACTCAAAAATCTCACTTGTAAGCTTGTATTTTGTGTTGGCAAAAGTCTCTAGTCTTCTTGTGCTTTGGGGTTTTTATAGAAGGTGAGAAATAGCTCCAAAAGACTCTCCAACGGTCAAATATTAAATGCTGTCAAAACTAGCCGTTGGCCTGTCGGACGTCCGACAGGTGCCTGTCAGACGTCCGAACCACCTGTCGGACGTCCGAACCCTGCGTCCGAACGTAGGCAGAGAGTCATCAAATCTTTGCGAAATTTCTCGGACGTTCGATGCGATCGATGTGCGTCCGATCCTTCCGGACGTCCGATGCTTTCTCACGAGCGTCCGACAGAGTTTCCTTCTTGATATTCTTCATCCTTTCGGACGTCCGATAGTTTCCTTTTGGCCGTCCGACATGAGTGACCTGATTTTGCTTCTTCATTTGGTTTGTTAATCATCAAAACCAAGGAATGATCGACCAAGGTCAACAATCTCCCCCTTTTTAATGATGACAAACAAAATGAAGATTTCTTTTATCAAATAAGTTCAAATAAAGCTCCCCCTTAGAAAGTGCCAACATGCAAAGAAATTTCAATAAATCCTACTCCCCCTTATGGCATCAATCAAAAAGCAAACTCCCCCTTTATTTTTCAAGTCAAGACCATAATAGGGTTCTTGGGAGTTATTACAACATGATCTAGCAATCCACATGGATTTCATACCTTTTCTCATATTTTTCTTTACATAGCAATCATTTTGCATGTGTCCAAATTGGCAACAAAAGTGACACATGATAGAAGTATTTTGCACATAAGTGGATTTAATGCAACTAATTTTCTTAGCAAACTTATTTGTGCCTTGAAAAGATTTGCTTTCTTTTGTTTGAGAAAACTTTTGTTTTTCATTTTGGAGAATCTCGTTCAAGTCATTAATTCTTTTCTTTAACAAATTTTGTTCCTCCAACATTTTTTCATAAAACTTTGTTTTCTCTTCCAACTTCCTTTTCAAATTATTTTTGCAATCAAAAACACCTTTTTGATTTTTTAAATCATCATTTTCCATTCTCAAACATTTGTTTTCTTGAAAAAGTTTGGAGTTTTCTTCCAACAAATCATTTATTTTTGTTTTCAAATCTTTATTTTTAGCATAAGATTTTTTCAAACTTTTATGCATTTTAATCATAAGAGTTTTCACATCATCATCTTCATTATCTTCATCACAAGAAGAGTGATAAGAACTTACCTCATCTTCTCCAACGGCCATTAGTGCCATTTGGGCCAACTCTTCTTTTTCTCTTTTTGAATTGCATTCATCCCATGTAATTTTGCAATCTCCTCTTGAACATCTCTTGTTGAAGATCTTCTTGAAACTTTTGATGTGAGGAGTTATATCATTGTCCACTTCCATGATTTCATTACCCATGAAGGATGGGTTATCCCCCACTTGAGATGCTTTAAAAGCTATGCCTCTCTTATACATTCTTGCATTTTCTTCCTCTTGCACTTTGAATTCCAGCTTTAATTCATAAGAGGTTAGGGTATCCACAAGAGATTCAATGGACATAGAATTTAAATCCTTTGCCTCTTCTATAGCATTTATTTTGTTTTCCCATTCTTTTGGCAAGGCATTCAAAATCTTTCTATTTTTCTCACCCAAAGAATATTCTTTTCCAAGCAATTTAAGATCTTCAATAATGTCACAAAATCTACTACACATCTTATCAACATTTTCAAGAGGATGCATTTTGAAAAATTCATATTGAGAAACAAGCAAAGATTTCTTTTGTTCTTTAATATCTTGGTTACCTTCATGAAATACACACAATTTATCCCAAATATCTTTAGCTGATTTACAACCTTTAATCCTACTAGATTCATTTACATCTAATGCATTGTACAATATACACATGGCCTTGGCATTCAAAGAAAGGTATCTCTTGTCTTTTTCATTCAATTCTTGTCTAGTCTTTAATCTACTCAAATTGGTGATAGAGTCAACTATTCTAGCTTCATAAGGACCATCTTCTACCACATACCATAATTCAATGTAAACAGATTGTAAGAAAATCATCATTCTTTGTTTCCACATGCTAAAATGAGAACCATTAAACATAGGTGGTCTATCAATAGATTGCCCTTCTAAAAAAGAAACTTTTATGGTTGCCATGATCTTTACTCTAAGCGGTTAAGCTTGATCAAAAGAGACCAAGCTCTGATACCAATTGTAAGAGCCCGGTGCAACCCAATGAGTACAAACAAATTCACAATGATGCACAAAGATATATCAAATTTAAGCACAATAAAGAAAACTTAATTAAAGAGAAAAGATAAGAAATGCAAACCAAATATCAAACCAATAGCCTCTTCAATTGATGGCGATGCTAACCAAGATGTACAAGTGAAGGCTCACTCCTTCCTCACCCCAAATACTCTTTGGTTGAGCCAAGGAGTTTTACAACTATTCTAGTTAACCCTCAACAACCTACACTTGAAAGATCACTCACCCAATTAAGAACTATTTTATACAAATGAGGCAACCTTCACCAAGGTTTTACCACTCCAAGTGATTGGTTCACCTTCACCAAGGTTTTACTACTCCAAGAGAGTAACCTTTACTTGAGCAACCTCACAACCCAACTTCCCAACTCCTTATACAACCAACAAAGAATCTTTCTACTCAAAAATCTCACTTGTAAGCTTGTATTTTGTGTTGGCAAAAGTCCCTTGTCTTCTTGTGCTTTGGGGTGTTTATAGAAGGTGAGAAATGGCTTCAAAAGGCTCTCCAACGGTCAAATATTAAATGCTGTCAAAACTAGCCGTTGGCCTGTCGGACGTCCGACAGGTGCCTGTCAGACGTCCGAACCACCTGTCGGACGTCCGAACCCTGCGTCCGAACGTAGGCAGAGAGTCATCAAATCTTTGCGAAATTTCTCGGACGTTCGATGCGATCGATGTGCGTCCGATCCTTCCGGACGTCCGATGCTTTCTCACGAGCGTCCGACAGAGTTTCCTTCTTGATGTTCTTCATCCTTTCGGACGTCCGATAGTTTCCTTTTGGCCGTCCGACATGAGTGACCTGATTTTGCTTCTTCATTTGGTTGGTTTTCTTTCCTTGACACCATTGAACCTGATTCTAACAAATTTCTCACATAAAAACATTAGACCAAATCTACATTTTGGTTTGTTAATCATCAAAACCAAGGAATGATCGACCAAGGTCAACATTGTGGTTTTTTGTTATGGAATAGAATTTAATATTTTATCAATCAGTTGAATTACGAGTTTTGTTGTTGGGTTGTTCTTGTTAAGAAGAGTCTTGTTCACCATGACATCAATATGGACTGATATTATCAGCGATGTGTCTTTGCTGATAATTTGGTAAGGATTATTTTGCTTTTATTTTTTTATTGCTCCTTTGATATGTTATAATTTCTTTTATGAGTTATCCTATTTGTCTGGGCTCATATAATATCCATTTTATATGGATAGAAATTCTATAAACTATTAGAATCATAATGTCCATATGATATCCATATAATATCCATAATTAGGAACTATTACTTCTTAACTATTCATAATCGATATGGATCTAGAAAAAAAATAAAATAAAATTTCAAATAAATTATTGAATACTATAGAGCACAACGATCAATGTAGCGATATAGAATTTTAATTTTTTTATCACTCAATTAATTTCTAATTGTCATCTACTATTAGATATGAAATAGTTTTAGTATAGTTAAATTTTTCATTTTTAAATTCAAATGACATTTTGGAATTCTTTTTTTTTATATACTTCTATGTGTATATATATATATATTTATATTATTTGATTTTATATCATATATTTCTGATTCTAATTAGGAATGATTAGTTAGTTGCTTAGATGGGCCAACATTACACCAATAACCGGACAACTCAATTAGGCACCATGCAATCTCCAACAAATGGACAACTCAACAGCCATTAATCTAACAAATTGCCCCTTAAATTGGCCAATATAACACTAATAATCGGTCCACAATCAATTGCAATTGAAACAGTACCCACGCTGCTTCTTTGGTACTTTTATATCTTGCAGACATCACATTAAAAATAAAAATAAAAAAAAAACCTAAGCACTCCTTCCCTTCTTTTGCATTAGATGAAGATTTGAGAAGCGAGCAGTGGTTTTACAATGCTACAATTACTACGGTGATTGATGTTAAATTTCGCTTAAATGACTAGTAGTCAATGGTTGGACGTCAATTTCGTTGTCCACCCGCCAACTTGCTCGTCTAGATTGGGTGAGAGGGCGTGCCAAAGAGGTCGACAGCTCAAAATCAAGTTCAACGCGCGACCACAAACACATCAAAAATAAATAAATAAAACAGGAAAATAGATTGAAAAGATGGCCTGACTGGGTTCAAAAGATCAGACTGTCTTTAATTTTGATTAATCTTTTCTTTAATGAATGGAGCTATTAATAATATTATTGTTGTCTTCAAACTTTTCTTCATCAAAATTTTCATTTGGAGGACTCTGATGTCCATTGCGGTTCTCATCTTGACTTTTATAATTAGTTAACGAGACTTGCCAAATGGTTGAGCAGCATCACTTTAGTAGTTAAACAAAAAGAGAGAGAGAGAGAGGCTCTTTTCTTTTTTGTGAATAAAGGAAGCAAGCAAAGTTCGAGTCTATCATCCCCAGGAGTATCCAATTAATCTGGCATATGATAAAGCCAGACCAAAAGTTACTTCTGCAAACTCACACCCAACTTCTATGTGTGGATATTAATGTGTTGCACCTGCGAAACAAGTCGATTTCCATTGATTTTGAACAAGAAACGGTACCATTTTGAGGAAATTTTGTAAATATTAGCCACCAAAGTTTTTAATTTTTTTGAAAAACGTGTACATCTTGAAATCAAGATATTATATATAACCATAGTTGGTGCTTAGGAAGGTAATTGATATTATAATCACGTAGTCTTTTTATTATAATTGCTAAGGGAGGTAAGTGATACTTTTAAAATCTGACGGGTGTCAAGTAATATTAAGAGAAACCTCAAGGGAGGTTTCTGATACCTGTTTTGAAGAGTTATCCTGAAAGCCAAAACCCCGGCTCTTCCTGTTACTCAAGGGAGATTTGCACTGTTAGTCCTCTAAGTTTTGAACTTGAGTCAATTTCATATTTTGTCCGTCTCGACCAAGAACTTTACCCTCTGCCCCTGAGAAAAATCAAATCAAGAATTGTTGCCGGTTCTGTTCTACTGTAGTTGGATTCTGGAATTGTAATGCGACGCTGGAGGAAGAAGCGCAGGATTTTCAAGAGTAAAGGTGCAACTACGTTTAACTCACCTGCCCCATTTTTGGAGAAAATCGAATTCTAACGCTTACTCTTTTTTTTTTTTGGGCTGTATTTTCAGTGAGAATTAAAGCAAAAAAGAGAGTTTTGAAAGAGGAAAAAATAACACGGGGGGTGAGTCCGTTAGTTGAGAAGTACTGGCTCCAGAGGTACGATTTATTTTGGAGATATGATGAAGGAATTAAGTTAGACGAAGAAGGCTGGTTTTCCGTTACTCCGGAGGAGATTGCCGTCGGCCATGCTCAGCGTTGCACCGGCGCCGGTGTCGTCATCGATTGTTTCGCTGGCGTAGGTGGTAATGCCATTCAATTTGCTCGAGTGTAAGTTTTTCCCCCCCCTTTTCTTGGTATTGGATAGTTTGACTTGCTTAGACTAGTGTTCTCTTCTAAAGCTTAATTATTGGAATGTTAAAACACTACGCTTAAATCAGCTGATCATCGACATTTTGATAGCTAAGAGCTCCTTTGAGGTGTTATGTTTCGCGCATGACTTTTGCTTTTTTAGCTTTTGTTGTGAACTTCAAAAGTTGATTTCCACTATAAGCTTTGGCAAACAGCTTCTTCTTCAGTTTTCAAAACTTTGAAAAGGTAAACGAGGTTTCAAGTTTCACCTCAAGTCCCTTTTTTAAAAAAAAAAAATATTAGAATCAAGTGTTTCATAACCAGCTTTGGCCAAAGCTGAAGCTAACAAGAACAGAGACTGGATTACTTCAGATGATATTGGTTCTTTGGAGAGTTCTTTGGGTTATAAAAAATTGGTTGAAGATTTACTATTCTGATGAATTTGTTGTTTGCCATGTGTGATGCTGATGTGAATTTGTGTAACTGGTTCTAATAAGATTTGTATGTATTCGCAACATCTTTGATGTATTGAAGTAGCACTTTGCTAGCATGCATATTCTAGGTGTGATCATGTAGTTGCCATTGACATTGACCCCGAAAAAGTTGCCCTGGCAATGAACAATGCCAAGGTATATGGTGTTGAAGACCACATCGATTTCATTGTTGGAGACTTTTTTCAGCTGGCACCATCCCTCAAGGTATTCTTTCTATAATACTAGGTATGCAGTTGATATTGTTTGATTATGCTTCATGGACATTTTCTGAGGTTGAATATTGTTTCTATTACAAACAAAGCTACATGGTTCAGTCTTTTATTCTTAGGGATTGGTTAGTTGTTTCTTGTTCTAAACAGTTATGTTTAGGCTTGGCCTTTTTCTTCAAGTATTTGCTCTTGCATTCAGTTTCCTGTCTTTGGGTATGAATTATCGATGTGGAGAGCTTATTGCAATGTGATTGAAGGGTCTGCTTTAAAGTTGGGATTCTTTTTTAGGTTAAATACTTGTTGAAAAACTTTTAAGAATCCTAGTTTTATTTCTCAATGGTAAAGAAAGTTTTATAAAACTGGCTTGGACTTTATGTCTATCTAAATTTTCCAAGTGCTTGTTTTTGCATCTTTGCTTTCAATGTACTAGACCAAGCCAAATAATACTAATAGAATTTCTTCTTCTTCATAAAAGCTTCTTTTTTCTTCAAAATACTGATTTTTACAACAAGCTCCATGGTCTACCGCATGTTTATATTTCTGTCAACTCAGAAGAGCTTTTGAGAAATATACTAACTCTCTTGGTAGGCAACAACTTGGAATTTTCTTTGATGAATTGGGAACTTTCTTAAAACACTCTGGTAACTTCTTTTGCTTTTGATAGCTAATCATATGAGATACTTAACCCTCCAGTGAGGTTCACCTTGGACTTGATAATATTTTTAGACTGAGGAATGGAGGCTTCAAACTGATAGCCAGAAAGATGTATCAAATGCAAAATTATAATGATAGTGGGCTATAGACTTTTGCTCCTTTTTTTTTTGGAATTATCTGGAATCTTGGAACAATCAGAAATAAGGAAACATTAATTTTGTATCAAACCTTAAGTTCATCACCTAAACTTTCCTGATCTTATTGAGTTTGCTGTAGTTTTTCCATCTTTAGTAGATTGAACTATTACTCTTAATGTGCATATGGATACGTGTTCCAGTTATCAGTTTTTTGTTGGACCTGTCTGCCTTTATCAAGTTCTCATGGATATTTATTCCTATACTGCTGTTTTTTCTAAGTTATGATCAATATTTCTCTGTTAGGGAGATGTATTGTTTCTTTCACCACCATGGGGAGGTCCATCATACAAGATGACTAAGAAATTTACTCTGGACTCACTGAAGCCTAAAGATGGGTAGGTGGTGGTGGTTTTGTATCTGAACCTTTTTTTTGTCAAATACTATATACATATATCATGCATGAACTTGGTTAGAGACGATCAACTCTATCTGCTTGAAATGATGGTTATGGTTTCAGTTGAGATGGTTTCCTTGCTGAAAATAAAATGTGAGTTTAAGGTTGTAGTTAATTTTGCGTCGTATTTGATGCAACATCATGTTCATTCAGTCCAACCTCTCTTATAAATTGATTTTTAAATTTTTGATTCATATATCATGCATGAACTTGGTTAGAGACGATCAACTCTATCTGCTTGAAATGATGGTTATGGTTTCAGTTGAGATGGTTTCCTTGCTGAAAATAAAATGTGAGTTTAAGGTTGTAGTTAATTTTGCGTCGTATTTGATGCAACATCATGTTCATTCAGTCCAACCTCTCTTATAAATTGATTTTTAAATTTTTGATGAAGTATTGCTGCCTTTTTGTCTTTTAATAAGCACTATAGAGGATATTAGATTCAATAAGTTTAGATGCCTCTCATAATATTAGTCTGTCATTCATCAGCTTCATCTTTGTATAGAGACTATCTCTGGTATGATTGTTTGGAGTAAGATTGTTCCAAATTAATATGAAAATTGATGTATGACCAACGAATTATACAAGTTTCTGAAGTCCTCTAGCCTGAATAATACTTGTTTTTGAACCTCTAATTTCTGTTGAATAAACTTGAGTGCCTCTTGTCCTGTCAACTTATCAGGATAATAATTTGGGTATAGGGCATGCTGCTTCTCTGCCAACTGTTTTCAAATTTATGTCTCAGTTTTACTGACTTCTGATACTATGGGTTGTTTATGTGCGTTTTTGCTATTTAAATGGCTCTCTGAATTTCCTACTCCTCTTGATTTATTTTTAATCAAAATGTGCATAAGAAGAACTTGTTCTGAATTAACAAATACTTTGGCCTTTCAGCTCAAGATCTTCGTGGAATTGAGATGATATAATTCTTCACTTGTCATATTTGCTTCTAACCTCTATCTAGAGCCATTAGCTAATACTTTATCAATGTGCAGGCACTCCTTGTTTCAAGTTGCACAAAAAATAACACCTCATATAATCATGTACTTACCCAGAAATGTGGACTTACTGGAAGTGGAGCAACTTTCTTGGTTGTCTTCACCGCCTTTGGATATTGAGGTACTAGCTTTACCTGATTAATTTTCATGAACTGATTCATTCTTATCTACTTGTGAATAAATCACGTGTTACTGAGAAAAAATTTTATGCACAGATAGAGGGAAATACAGTCAGAGGCCATTTTAAGGCAATAACTGTCTACTTTGGTGATGCTGCCATAACACAGCTTTGTCTCCCTCGAACACTATCAGGTTAAAGTTGCACCATTTGTTCATTATGGTTGACGGTATCCACTGAAAATGTACAAGGTAAATTAGGCTGGATTTTTCTGAAATTTTGGTGTAAGCTTACTTAAAACTCTTTATTTGAATTTAAACCAAAAAAAGGACAATTTCACTGAATCTCTTTAAAATTCTTACTAAATCCTCAAACTCACAAGTTGCCTTCCTACAGAATTAAGTTTCACCTACTGATAAATTTCTGGAAAGGCAATGAGATCAATAATAGAGTATTCACATTAGCAGTGCTTCCTATTCACTTTTTAGTGGTAGATTTATTACTGAACTTGCGGTAAGCCCACTGAGCTGTAGGACTAGTTAGGACAAGGGCATTACCCTCCAAGTCCTTGTTCCACAATAATATGGTAGCTAACCACAGCAGTGGACCAACTTGTGCAGTAAAGAGCAAACGAAATTTATACCACTTCCTATGGTCCCTAGGAATTGCAAGCATGGGAAGACAAGGGAAGGAACTTAACAGCTAGGTGGTCAGAGCTTCACATGGCAGTGCAATTCCACGGAGTTGTGAAGCAGTACTCATGGACTTATCATTAGCTAGCTGTAGAACTGATCTCTCATCTACCCATTTGTCTTCTTGTCAAGGGCAAAACTTAATGTCCTGGACCAAGTCTTGATGACGACCTGGAGTCTCACCGCTTTATATGGTGGTCCTAGGCAACACTGAGACAAAGCAAGTGGTTGACAGCAAAAATTACCACTGCTACTAATTTCTTGTTTATGAACTTAAATGTAGATCTACTAGATGAAACTGTGGAGTTAATTACCTTCATCGACCCCCTTCTTTGGCCATTACTTCATAATCACTGCCACCAAAGTTCCTTTTATTAGTGCATTTAAGGTGATTGTATCCCTCACATCAAAGAACTAATTACGGACTGTTTTATACTTTATATTGATACTTATTTTGATGCCCGGACCCACAAGTCTTGATATTCATTTTTCTTTATTTTATTTTTATAAAGTCTCTTTGTGTAATGCAGGTGCTGCATGTAAAGTATGCATTTAGTCGTACTGCTCCGGAATTGGTTCAAGACTGACTGACAACAACTGACTTGGTAGAATACTTGGGTTCTGTTGAAAGGAGATGGTCTGATACACCAATTGATCAGCTCTGAAGGCAGTTGAGACTTGAGAGGAATCTCTTCCTTAACTTGTTAAACTTATTTATTGGAGTTGCAGCTCAACTGAGAACTTTGTTGTACATTTCATTCTTTTTGACCGTCATAGTCTGTCCTTGAAGAATTGGCCCACCTTTGTACATTTTGTACGTGTAATTTTCCATTATCTGCAAGTGTGCTAGTCCTTCTGATACGTGTTTGATGCTAGTTCAAGATACCTGAAAATCTTTAGAACCTTTATCTCTTTTGCGGTTAACGAGCAAGCAGTGCATGCAGCAAGGACGGTGGCCCTTGTCCGTCCGAGAGCGTGCCCAACCAAATGCTGCTTGAGATAAAAAGTATTTTTGGAAGTACATGCATCTCATGGTCTAACTTTTCATGATTGAAGATCCAAAAAAGAAAAGTTCTTACCACATCAGTGTCTTAGCTGAATTTTGTTTGCAAGAAATTAGTTTGCTGCATTCGTATAAGCTGATTTTTCTTGTCCCTTGAAAAGTCAATGTTTGCTCCAAAAAAAAAAGGTTCTAATTATTGGAGACGATCATGTCTCAAGTGAACGCGTGGTTTACCCAAACGGGGGAAAAATTGCTTCCTAGTGGCAAGTAAATTTAAATAATTCGTGTGAGTTCACCATCAGCGGCGTTTTGCATTCAAGTCGTGATGAAGCGTGAGTTCATGGGAAGAGCTCTGCTCACCGCATCTAATAGGATAAATTACTAGTGACCTTCTGTCCGTGGTTCTATCTATTGTCATATAATTTTTTTAACGTTTCAAAATATTCATTTCATCTCTCAGTGGTTTCATGTAAAGTTGTCAATTGGATATTTAACAAAAATAGTTTACATAACATCATTAATTGAAATACTAGTCGTGCCTTTGCTTAACTACCTTGTGCGAAATTATAGGAGTATCATGTGGATAAATGCAAAAATCTTAAGGAGTAAATTGGAAATATATGCAAATCATAAGGAGTTAAGTGGATATTATGATTTCATTACATTTTGGAGCGCATGTGCTGTAATTGCTGGAACTGATTATGCATTCCGTCTATTTTTTATTTAACATAAAATCACAAGGGATATATATAGCTATTTTGAAACATTAGAAGAGTGATCCGACATATGTAAAACCTTACGGGGACTGTATATAATTTACCCCATTTAATGTTCAGTAACCCTTGGGTCTCGACATGGTGACCTATCCCGAACGAGTCGTTTTCAACGTAATAACTTGGAACAAATTGTTCGTTGTCTACAACAACCAGTTGGGCAGGGCATCCATTACATTACAGAGGATGACAAGTTATGTATTGGCTACATCCGAAACATGGGTATACTGCACGGAGAATTGAGCACCGTCATCCAACTCCTGCTAGAATTAACTTTGTCATAAAGTGAGCAGTTCTCCCTATACGTACTTGCATTACCTTCGCCAATTAATCCTCTCAGCCTTCATTCTCTTGGTTTGGCCTATTATATATCCTTCAGAACGGCTTCAAAAATCTGCATAAAATGAGCATGAAGGCAGCGAAGAATATGAGGGGTTTCATGTGCCAATCTCCAGCTGCTACAGCAGTGTGCATGGCAAGCGAACCCTTGTCTGTGATAGTGCGAAGGGGGCCTGAATCCGATCGAACCTTGGCTGAACATGCAAGGCTGATCGATAGCACAAAGCACAGTCGCATGGTGGAGCCTCGTGCTCGTAGCCGTGGATTGGCTTCAGCTACTCTCAGATCAGCTATTGTTCCATCTTTCGGAGTCGAGAATCAACCAGATAAGGCATCCCGATCCCAAGTTGTCTCTTCATTAGCAGAACGGGATCAGGTTTTCCAGGTTAAGTTGACGGGAGACGCTATGATGATTAGTGCTTTTAACCGTCTACTTGCTCTTCTAAATGGGCATGCATCGTAATTTAAAAGACCTTGCAGTACTTAATTCTTAGATTACAACAGAAAGAAGAACACTGAGTTATAAACACGTGTATTTCTTGCTTCTTAATTCTGCCGTGGCAGGTGGTTGTCATGAGAGTCTCCCTGCATTGCCAAGGCTGCGCTGGTAAAGTGAAGAAACATTTATCTAAAATGGAAGGTACCTACTCTTTTTTTTTTTTTTTTTTTTTTAAACGACTAGAACTTCCAGATTGCGACATTTGTTTCCTTACTGGAGTTTTGTCATATATCTCTAAACGAAGAGAAAGAAAGAAAATCCTTGATAGATATTATACATAAGAAGCAAATTTATTTTGCTTGACTAAAGACTTTTCTGAATCGATCCAAGATTATTTTGCTTGACTAAAGATGATATGGCTTATAATCCTTCTCGAACTTGAAGTGTTGAATCATATTCTTTTTCTCACCCAAAAGACAAGGTATAGATCAAACTTGCAGGACCAAGCAGGCCGGATGGATTTAGCTAAGACATGCAATTATTGCCTAATCGTGAGATAAGACTGTTTATCAACCAGGCTTTCAAATGCATATTTAGTTCCGCACGTAGGCGGGCGGTGTGGGTGAGGGGAAAGCTAATTAACTACCACAGATATAGCACACCATGCACATAAAATTAAGTATGTCATGTCTTTTTTATTTTTTTATTGAGCATGTCATATCAATTATACTCTTCATTGGTGCACATTTCGTAGTATACTTCCATTTCCAAACGTTTGCTGAAGGAGACTGGTTGAGCATCTATTTGTTCATTTATACATGCATGGTCTTGGTCTTGGTCACTTGTTACATACATACTAAAGCGGTGTTTTGCTTTATGAAGTCAGATGTTGGACCGCAAGAAAACAAAAGATCCTGCATGCTTGTATCTCGGTCACCATTTTTCCAAGAAAATTGATGTCTTCTTTCCTCTACACTTTGTGGGGGGTTTTTTTTTTTTTTTTTTTTGAGGTTTAATATATACTTATATCTTGATGGATTTTTAGGGGTAACATCGTTCAGCATTGATCTGGAGAGCAAGAGGGTGACTGTGATGGGACATGTCTCACCAACGGGAGTGGTTGAGAGCATATCAAAGGTGAAAAGAGCAGAGTTATGGCCATCGGCTCCTTGTTGAAGTTGAACAGACCCACGAGCGAGAATCAACTCTGCATGTATATCAATCACAACGGACGCACGTAGTAGAATAGAATATGCCAATATGGTCATGCTCAATGCATATCGACGATCAACTGGTCTGCTTCCAATGAGTCCAGTAAGCATCCTTGAGAGGTTGATGTGCGCGTAATGGTAGTATTGCTTTCGATCGAGAGGGAAATCCTTGTATCTCGGGTGGGATGGTCCCCCTTTAACAATAATGTATGAAAATGAATGGTGAACGATTTTTCTACCATCACGTGACTAGGAACAGAGAGAAGAGTATTTTATAGTAATGAACTTTTTGGGGCCAAATAAATTGAATGCTGGACAGCTTTATTTATCTGAATTAGCAGATATTAATAGCTTGTCCCTTGGATTTACGAGCCTCTCCAATAGTTCAATTTGTCCTGAACATTTTTCACACAAAAATTGATCAACGGTGGTGGTCCTCTTCTTCTATATAACTACGATTCTATAGCATATTAGAGTTATCTTTAGAATTTTTCAATCAATTAATGATGGGTGTAGAATCCAACAAAAATAAAAAGGGATAACTCAGAAACCTCCCCCTGAGGTTCTAAAAATATCACTAACCTCCCTTGAAATCAATTTTCTTGTAACAATTTAGTCCAATTCAAAAAAAGCAACAATAAAAAAATAATTTTAGATATGAGAAGATTTGTTTATGCCAAAAGTGCCCCTCAACTATTATATTAGTTATATTAGATATTTGATCTAACTTGTTAATTTACTTATGGGGCCATTGCTATACATGGTCAATACAAAAATTTTCTATTATCCATAACAAAAATAACAACTTCCAAAATTTAACAAAACATTTTTTCCATACCTTAAGATTCTTTCTATCACCGCAATTATAAGAAAAATCAACTCAACTAAAATCTCTTTATATTTGGTTCCTTTTATTTATCAAGTGCATAAATTGGAAAAAGGATGCCTAGTATTGGATCCCTTTTTAGATGTTAAATTAGATTTTTTTTTTACATTTCAAATTATGGTTAATTTAGTTTGTAAACTATTTAATTACGTCTAATTTCTTTTATTTGTCAAGTATATAAAAATTAAAAAAGATGTACCTAATATTGGCTCTATGTTTAGACAGCAAATTAATTAAATCTTTACAATCCAAATTATGGTTAATGTATTTAGCAAAATGTTAACTCTTTTCCTTCACATATATGTATAATTATCCTAAATTATAAGGGTAATAGTCATTTAGCCATTAGTGATGCAAGCATTAGGCCCGAACTGATTGATAGGAGAGGTAAGTGAAATTTTTAAAATCTTACGGGAGGGCAGTGAAATTATTAGAAACCTCAAGGGAAGTTTTTGAAATTATTCCTAAATAAAAAGAATAATTTCAGAAGCCTCCCTTAAAATTTCTAACAATTTCACTGGCTTCCCTTGACATTAATAAAATTATACTTACCTCCTTTGACAGAATTGTGGACCCAATTACTTGTATCACATGGGGAGAAATTACTCATCTACTCTATGACATTATGTTTTATTAGAAATTAATATTTAATGATTGAATAATTAGAGTACTAATTAACTATTTGTAACTGATTAAAGGAAATAACTGTTGAAAATTTCTTTTATGATAAACGGTGACTTACAATTAGTATAAAGTAATGCCAGTTGATATACCAAATGGTGCTATTCTATGATTGATAGAACTTGACAGTGATTAGAAATTAGTTGTACACAATGTGAGAAGATGAATTTTGATAGAAGAAAAAAAAACACAAGGCAAAAGAAAAGTTGTTCATGAGGAAATTTTCTTTAAAACTCTTAAAGGTGTGATAGTTTAAAATAATTTCATGGAAGAAAAGAGAAAAAAGAGAAAAGAAAGGTAAAATTCAAAAAAAAAAAATTCTGTTCAAAATCATGAGAATCATAGTAAACCTCAAGTTAAGAGAGATGACAAATCTGTTTTGCTGAATTTTGTGATCGTTAGTGTAGTTTTGTTGTTTATTTGTGTTGTCTGATATATTAAATGTGAACATTTTGAATAGTGAAATGTGTGTATTAATTGTTTTTAATTTTTAATTATTTTGATCGTTTTACTGATACAGCTTAAGTACATGTATAAGGGGTATTTATAAAATAAAAGTTTCATCTCTCTTTTTAAAGTACTTATTTAATGCTATTTTTCTTACCTTATCCTCAGGAGAGGTTTGTGTAATTTTGCAAATCTCAAAAAAGGCTTGTGAAATTGTTGGAAATATTAGAGTAGCTTTCTGAAATTATCCCAAATAAAAATTCTTAGAGTCGTATCCATAAGAACTAGATGATTATTTCTTTATAAGAAATAAATAAAAAAGGGGAATCGTTGAAAATTAATCTAAGTAATCAATTTAGATAAAGACAATAATAAATAAGAAAGGGGAATTGTTGAAAAATTAATCAAGTAATCCATTTAGATAAAGACAATAATGCAAAATTAAATAAAACTAAATCAATAAAAAATAAATTTCTAGTCAAAGGAATAATTTCGACTTTGATTCATTTAATTAATCATCAATAAATTGGTTATTGTTATAAAACTAATAAAATGAAGATACTACAATAGGAATTGAAGAAGTATTAGAGAAAGGAGTAGAGAAAGGGAGAATGATTTCCTTGTATTTCAACAAGATACAAAAGTCCTTTCAAAGGGTGTCAATGTACTTCTATATATAGGTACTACAAGATTAAAGGTACATCAATTCTATTAAACACCCACTACTACAAGAATATGAAGAAACCTATGAAACGGTTTCTCCACTACATGAATAGATTTACGGATTGTAATTTCTATACATAATGTAGCCATAAATCATGAATTAATCTCTTGGGAATACAAAGGGACATCCATACTTTTAATTGTTTCATACCACTCCCCCTTGGATGTCCATTACACAAAGAATATGCCTCGTTAAAACCTTACCAGGGAAAAATCCATCGGGACAAAAACCCTAGTGAAGGAAAAAGAGTACACTATTCTTGTGTGTTAATTTCTCCCCCTGATGCAAACATTATTTGAGATCTTTTAATCATCGCATTCCAATATTTTTCGTCAATTGCGCTGAGATATGGTACTTCAGGACCAAGTATCTCTTCATCTTCCTCTTGCGATCTAAAAGTATCCTTTTTAGGATCTAATAATCTGACGACCATTGGAGTACTTAATATATGTGCCTTATCCATATAAAACCGCTTTAATACCTTCTGGGTATAAGCAGTTTGGTGGACAAAAATTTCACTTTTCAAATGCTTAATTTGTAAATCAATGCAAAATTTTGTCTTTCCAAAATCTTTGATCTCAAATTTTTTTCTCAAATATTCAACATTATTTTGAATCTCTTCAAGAGTTCCAATCAAATTTAGATCATCAACATATACAGCAATTATCACAAAATTTGATCCATTTTTCTTAATAAAAACACATGGACATATTGGATCATTGGTATAACCTTCTTTTGTCAGACATTCATTGAGACGGTTATACCACATACGTCCAGATTGTTTGAACCCATACAGAGACCTTTGTAATTTAATAGAATAAATATTTTTAGAATTTGATTTGCATGCTTCAGGCATGTTGAATCTTTTGGGAATTCTCATATAAATATCATTTTCAAGATTTTCATATAAATATGTAGTAACGACGTCCATTAGACGCATATCTAATTTTTCATGTAATGCAAAACTCACAAGATATCTAAATGTGATAGCATCCACTACAGGTGAATACGTTTCATCATAATCAAATTCAAGCCTTTGTGAAAATCCTTAAACTACTAGCTTTACACCTTTAGGTGTTTGGATTACAAGTCCAAAAATTTTTCTTTTAATCAATAAATTCAATTTAGATTAGATCACATCTTTCCACTTTAAACAATCATTTCTTTACCGACATTCATCAACCGATCTAGATTCATGATCCTCATCAATTTTTATAATATCAAGTGCTACATTTCATTATGCTCCAATTAAATTTTCTATGATTTAATTCTCTTCAGGAGTTGGCTCTTCAGGAGCAACCTCTTCAAAAGGTTGAATTTTGTCATGACATTTATTTAATCTCCAGAGATATTTGAAATCAATTTATACCTTATTTAGGTAAGTCGGCCTTAAATTTATTTGTAGCACTTGTGCATATCCTTCAGGGACATCAATTTTAATCAAGGTATTTCCTGTAGGAACAGTTGATTTAATAACTCTTTTGGAGTCGATAATATATCTGACAACTGGTTTGCAATTTTCTGCAAATAAATAATTTCTTGAACTTCCAGTTCACGTTATTTTATATGAGGATCGAGGAAATCCAAATTTTCAGGTGATTTTCTTTCGGTTGATTTCTTCCTCCCCTAATGTCGGGAATCGTAGTTCATCAGAATAATAAATCATTCAATAAATCACCCATCAAATATTTTATGATATTTAATCGTAAAAAGTGATTCATACCCGACATAAATTCTAAATTTCTTTTGGAGCCATATATAATATAAAGGGGTATGTATGAATACTTGTCAGCTCTCAAATATTCTCACTTTTGTCAAATCATATATCCGTTGGGATCAGTAAACTTCTGGTTTACTGCAGGTGATGATTATAAATCAAATGAGAATGAAGACAACCATATCGATAACCATTTCTCTCTCGAATGGTTATTATAATATAATTAACATTTATCTCACTTGATTTCTAAACATGATCTCAATTATTGTCTCATTTAGTGTCTCAATTTGATATCCATTTCAACGGATTTTCAAATTCAATAAATTTTTCGAGACATGGTAAAAAATAGTGCTTCATTTATCATAAACTTTTCTCCTACAGGGAGAAATATATCATTGGCTCTTCTGGAACTTTCAATCACTTAAGCACTACCACTTATTGTGTTTGTCTCTCTCATTGGAATATAGTGTATATAGTAGCACTTGTTAATGAGACACATCATTGTCATCATAATTCTTATGGGACAAATATCATTATCATAATCCTTTGATCCCAAATATTTAACATCTATTTCTTCTTCAGGAAGAAAAGTCAATTACTATCATAAATTAAATCAATCATCATACACCTTCAGGGCGTTTAAAGAAATTTGCCATGTGAAAATGCTATTATAATTTTGATTCGTCAAATGTACTTCGGGACATTTATCTTTAGGACCTTTATTTTTTTGTCCTTATCATTATTATCCCACTTCAAGTGGTAACTTTTTCTCTTGTCATGATAAAATGTATATTTACCAAAATCATAGTCGTGACAGCAACCATAACTTGTAAATTGAAATTTAGTTGCATTCACTTCTGGGAATGAACTAGAACTATCATGCAATAAGTACATAATACTTCTCAAATTTTCT